AACCGATCGAAAATTAAATTAAAATTCTTAGGTTAACTTCAATTAAATCTCAATTTTTGTATATCTAATTTTTGTTTTTATTATATTGCAAATAAATTTAGGAATTTTCCGTTATTTCCTTAAAATATGGACAATAACAAAAAAGTAAATAAATAAGGGAAAATTTGATGAAATTATTACATAAATCATAATATTTTTATTTTCCAAATTGATTAAAATCGTTCAAACGATATTAATACACCATTTATACATTTTTGGTTTTTTCTCAATTTATCTATCACCTTTTTCCCCTTTTTATCCGCAAAATTTATTTGAACTTTAACGGATTGTTTAGGTCTAAGACTAATCTCGTGACAATTTTTCGTACTTAATACAAAAAAAAATTAAAATAAAAAACGAGTTTCGGATTTAGGTATTGTGTAAATAAGAACGATTCTGGTCGAGGAACATATTAAGACCCGAGCAGACCGATACTGTAATCGTAGGCAATGTTAGAAATCGAACACTTTCTTGACCCAATATATTACGACCCGAGCATACCGATAATTTTTTTTTTTTTTTTTTGAGGTTTTAGGTCTTAACGCTCTTGGCACGAGAGGCCGATAAAAAAAAAAACTCTTATTTATTTATTTATTTAATTTTTTGTTGGGTAAAATCTAAAAAAGGAAAAAGAAAAAGGAAAAAAAATGGATAGTGGCGATTGTGTAATTTAATGAAAAATGGAGGGCAAATGAAAGCAGTCCGCTTCAAACTTGCCCCCTCAAAAAATTCTCCCTCAAATCCCTACATTCAAGATCCCTTCCTCCCAAAGAAATCTCTTAAAAACCTCTCCCTCTACTTCCCCTTCACTCAACCCAGCGATTTTCCAGTTTCTCTTCCGATTGAGCCGCCGGAGTGCCGCCGCCGTCTATAATGGAGGACTGCCTGAGGGAGTCCATGCGAAAATTAGCCCTCTGGTTAACCAAAACCTTCAAGCCAATCATGACGCATGACGAGCTCGAACCTATTATGGTCACTCTAGGCTTTATCGCCTTGGAACCGGCCGTCAACGGCGCCGGAATCTCCTGGAAATCCTACAAATACTCCGCCGCAGATTGCCGTACTAAGTCTGTTTCTCCGCCGCCGCCAATACCGCGACTGCCGTATCCGAGGATCGACGGTCTTCATATTTATACGTACAGAGCATTTCTCGATGCCGTCAATTTTTATCTCGAGAAATTTGATATCTCCGATCTCTTCCATATTAGGTAACAATGTTGTTTAATCCTTTTAATTTTTGTGCTTTTTCTTTAATTTTGGTTGAAAATTTCTCTGTGCTTTTTTCGCTGCTGTTTCGCTTTTCGTTGATTTTGAACGTTTCATCATCCACCGCCTTTTCATTTATTTTCAAGTTTATGACGAAATTGATTGCTCTTTTCTAAAATTTCAACTCTGATTTTAGGAGATTTCTTGTCATAGTTACGGTTGACTACTGGTTTGATCGAGAATGAACTGAAAAATCATAATATTTTGATTCAGTTTTTTTCCTTCAAATTCTTTTAACGAATGAATTTCAACTTGATTCGTCTCTGATGATTGACAGTTCTTCTTCTTCTTTTTTTTTCCTTTTCAATATCGTAACATTAAGCAAAATTTTCTTCTTATCGATTAGATGGAAATCTTTAATTCCTTCTAATTTATCTTTAATTATTTTTTGTTACTATATTTATTTCAATTAGGAAAATAAAAAAATTAATATATGTAAAATTAGTTATTATTTTCTTAGATGGTAAAGCTATTAAGGCTATTCCCTTTCTCCCAAAGTATGAAAAGTCAATTTTGGACAATATTTTCTTTTTATATATTACTCTTACCTGTATATATAACACACACACACACATATATATATAATCCATATTGACTAGTATTTTAATTTGCAATATTACTTCAAATTAATTTCTGCTTAAATATTTAATTGAGTTTTATTAAGACATTTTATTTGATTTTCCTATTTTAATTTTTTTTTAAAAAGTTTTCTTTTAACTTTCTAAAATATAAATTTTGAGAAAACAATAATAAAAAAATAAAAAAAATTATTTATTTATTTTAAAGCTAATTGAAAAGATTATTATCCTAAAAATTAGTATTGTAGGGAAGAATTTTAAATCTTAATTCTTTTTTTTTTATTTTTATCTTTTATTTTTAATTGTGTTCAGTTACATAATTTAAATTTAATATCTTTATTCTTTTTTCTGATTTTTTACAATTACTATTTTTTCAATTTTGAACAATTACTAATTAAATTTAATATCTTTAATCCAACAATAGAATTTGTTATTTAACTAATTTCGCTGCTGAAAAGGAAACAAGATTTATTTACTTTTTACTTTTTGAGAACGGGAAATATTTATTTATTTATTTCATTTATTATTCTGTATTTGTTGTTGTTTTTTTAATTAATTAATTTTTATAAGATTATATTTAAGTATTGGACATCACGAAACTCCACGCCTGCATGTAGATGTAGTGCAGGCAGAGGCAATAATACTGTAAATTTCACATGCTTTTTGCATTTATCACCTANAAAAAAAAAAAAAAAAAAAAAAAAAAAAAAAAAAAAAAAAAAAAAAAGAGAAAAATGTTATCTAATTTTTATAAAGTTCATGAACTTTTTATTTTTTTATTTTTTATTTTTAAAGTTTATTCTTGAACTTTAATGCTTTCTGTTTGATCTTTTAACTTATCCAAATTTAATTAAATCTTTTAAATTTATAATAGTCAATTTTGGTTTTTTATTTTCATTAAATTTCATATTTATGTCTCTATCATAAAGATGATGGTGTATAGATAATAAATAAGATTACGTCATATATTTTTCACAAATTAGATAGTTTTTTTTTCCCCTAAAGTAAGGATTAAAGTTTAAAAAAATGTTTGATGATGATTTCTGTTTTTTGTTTTATTGTTAGCTTCCTCAATCATTATGCTTTTGGTGAGTTTCACATTTCTTAAGAACATTTTTGAATTTGTAATTAAATTTGAAAATTTTTGGAATTAAATGTTTTATAAACTAAAATTAAATCTAGGGATAAAATTTACCTTTAAATCTAAGTACAAAAACTAATTTATGTAACTGAGCATCATTATAATTTAAGTTTCCTTATAATCAAATTAATTTCTTTTTCTATTATATTTATGATTCTATTGATTACAATTCTTTTTCTTCGTATAATTTTAAAGTTATTTTTATAAACCACTCTATAATTATTCTCAAAAGTAATTCCAAACACAACTATTATCATTCTATTTTTTAAAAATAAATTTTATTATTCATATAAAATTGTTAATTTAGTATTTTTTTAATGTATAACTTGAATTTGTAGGTGTTGTATTCCTAAAATTCTTTGTTTGAGATTCTGTTCATGATACGTGTAAAGTGTGTTTTTTTCCTTCGTAAATTGTGAATCTAAATATGAAAACAAATTAATGTTTGCTTTTATTCGCAGAGGATTGCCATTGTATCGAAACCATGATCGAAATAGAAAGTGGCGTCGAATGGACGAAGAAGGAGGTAATTTTGTTTATAGAGAAGGGACTCTAGATCAAACAACACTCAATTTGTATAACTTTCATAAGACTTGGCCGAATAACAAGAGATACAAAAAGAATAAGAGTAGTTCCAGTACGAGCGACGAAGAAAATGATGATTCTAGTAAAAAAATTGAAGACCCCATCTGCGTTGTTAGTTTGAAAGATGTAATAACATAACGAAACGGGGCAAGTCAATATCAAGAACAATTTTGATAAGTTTTCCGTAGCTCATCCCAAAGATGTATTTCTTAATTTATTTGATGTCTTGAGGGATTAGAGGTTCTAGTGTACACATGAACAAATTTTGCATATGGAAGATGAAATAGTAGCTTTAGTGAAAGAATTTTGATGTGGACATTATCCTAGCATTCATCAGAATAGTATGGAAAATGGGCCATTGATGTTCTGTAAGCCCACACAATTTTCAGGCTCTCCCATATATATGTAGTGGAAATATATATGGCAAGAAGAATAGCTATGTTTATAATTATTCTCTCATTTGGTTCCAATGTTATTTCATTAAATAGTTTTATAAGCTTAATTTTTATTTCATTAAACTATGGAACCTCATCTTTTTTTTTTTTTTTTTTTTTTAATAATTTTTTTATAATAAAAAATCAATTAAGAAGTATTTATATAACTTGAGAACTCCTCCATCCAATCTTGGAGTTATTGGATATGGTTTTTTTTTATTGAATTTTTAAAAATAAAATTCGGCATTTTTTTGGTTGGGTGTGAGATATATTTGAAAAATATTCCGTAAAGATATTTGATAGAGAAATAAGAAATAGGTAAAACCACCTGCTATAATTAAAAAAAATGACATAAAATGATAAATCCATGGTTAAATTATTTGACCTAATTTTCAATTTAATTCCTGTGATTTAAATTATTTCTCATTTGATTTCACTTCAACTTCTTTAATCCAATCCTATAAATCCTATCAAATGTTAAAAATGCTCTTTACAACAATTACAAATACAAAAATAAAATATACCTTTGAAATAGTATTAAATATCTTATTCATTGAGTCCAAACTCTGACCGTTTTTATTTAGATGATAATGAGCGTTTTTATTTAGATGATGATGAGCTTGTATTTCCAATTTGTCCCGCTAAATTAGTTAATTATTTAAAGCTTAACTAAAATCATCAACCCAAATGAAAACTTTAAGACTCATAAGAATCAAATGGATAATACCAACTAGACGTAATCCAAATAAACCAATTTTGTAACTAATTTCAAAACCCAAAAAGAAAAAAAAAAAACCTTCAGCACCGTTTCCCGCCAAGAGAACGGCTACATTATCCCGCAATCCACATCTTCGAACTGTGGGGCCCATCCACTAATTTTCTTTTTCTTTTTCTTTTTATTTATATTTATTTATTTAGGAACATCCACTACCTTTGTTATCATGAAAAGATGAGCCATTAAACCACCAAAAGCCACTCTTTTAAAAACACATTCGGGTCCAACAATCAAAACCAAGACAGGCCACTTTTTGAGTTCTTATTAACTTAAGTTTCTTTATATCCATGGGTCTTAAAATGCAAAGGAACACATACCTGGCTTCCATGGCTTTCTGCTCTGTAGCCTCTGTATCTGCCGCCGCCATTTTCATAAAGCCTCAAACCCTTCGTTCTACCTCGATAATGGCAGAAATGGAGGCTCCAAGTTTGCTTCGTTGAGCCCCCATTAACGGCGGCCTAGAAGATACAAGAACAGGGTGCGTGTCTTTTCCTTAGCCTCGTTAAACGCGCCACCAATGTGAACGAAGGGCTGCAAAATTGGAGATTTGTCAAAGTTTTTCTATTTTCAGGACAGTGCTCCGGCAATCAGAGAAGCCTGCTTCATTTCAGCGAGAAATTAGGGGAATGATGAAAAAGAAGGCTGGGAGGGGCTTTTCTTAAAGGAGGAACAAAAAATTCAAAAGGAAATATACCACATTTTAGGTATACATACTGCACAGGCTTCTTCAAGACCTTATATTCTCTTTAATGGCTGCCTTTGTAGCTGTAGTAGTCTACTTGGTTCTTCTGCAAACACCCAATCTCTTTGCGGCTAAGGATGAAGAGTGGAAATCTGCTACTGCAACATACTCCAAAGAAACAGATGGGTCCATTGTTACAGGTACTCTTCTCCTTCGTCTGAAAGCTCATAAGATTATATTAGTGTTTAAACATGGTGATGGTGCTTTTCTGGGTTTGCAAAAGCTCTTATATGAGTGTTCAAGGGTTACCTTCAAAAGGTGGAAACTGGAAATCATAACTTCGATAATCAATGTTTAGAACATGTTAGTGAGTGATTTTGAAATAGTTAAAATCATTTTTGTCACGTTGAAAATCATTTAGAAACATGCTTCTATCAATCCGAAGCTTAATTTTGATAGTCTGAAAATTGCATACAAAAGCCTAGAAACCAAATATTAGATGAATTATGAGTGAAAAAAGTGCTTTTGACCATTTTATAATCACTTTCAAGATAGTCATGTCTGGAATATTGTAACCTAAAGGGAGGGAAATAAGTATTTCAAATGCTCTTTTTTCCTACTAATGTTGCAGAAGGTGCATGTGGATATGGAGATCTGCATAAAATTAGCTATGGAAAATATAGCGCAGGATTGAGTAGCATGTTGTTTAATAGAGGGAGTACCTGTGGAGCTTGCTATGAGCTTAGATGTGTTGACCACATCTTGTGGTGCTTGCAAGGAAGCCCGACCGTCGTTCTAACAGCCACCGACTTCTGTCCTCCAAATTACGGCCTATCTTCCGATTATGGTGGTTGGTGTAATTTTCCGAAAGAACATTTTGAGATGTCAGAGGCAGCATTTGCTGAAATATCAGAGAAAAAAGCAGATATTGTACCAGTTCAATATAGGAGGTAGAATCAATCTAAATGCATATAGATTCTAACGATTTGTCATCCTCAGCTAAGGGGAAAAAACTTGTTTTGAATGTGTGTAGGACGAGGTGTGATCGAAGCGGTGGATTGAGGTTCACGGTTAGTGGAAATTCTCGTTTCTTTCAAGTTCTGATTACCAATGTTGGAATGGATGGTGAATTAGTGGCAGTGAAGGTAAAAGGATCAAGAACAGGATGGATACCAATGGCAAGGAACTGGGGACAGAACTGGCAAAGCAATGTCAATCTTCATGGGCAACCTCTCTCTTTCGAAGTTACCTCAAGCAGTGGAAGAACACTTACTTCCTACAGCGTTGCACCTGCAAACTGGCAGTTTGGGCAGACATTTGAAGGAAAACAATTTTGAAATCGTTATGTAATTAAGGAATCTAAATCGAAACTAGAAACTTGAACATAAGGATACCGGCATGTTAAACCTCGAGATTATCATATCAGAGTTAAACTGCACAATGTTGGCAGTCTGGGCGTAAAGCCCACATAATTTTTCATCTTACTATATTTGTTTCTACAGAAATACGCAGCAATCCCGAACCGGGTTTGTACCTTATGTATTCTACTACGTATAATTCGGTACTTTTGGAACGAAAAAGAAATCATGTAACAACCACCTTGCATTATACTTCAGATTTTTCCCTTCTATTTCTGTCTTGAGTAGACTTAGATGAACTTCTCATGCTTGCAACAGAGTGGCTGAAGTATGTTGCAAGATGATCAGCTCTTATCTGCATAGACTAGTGACACTGCCAATCAGGGGAGATTTTGGATTCCAGAAGCTTGAGAAACGGAAGCATTAACAAGGAGAAGAGAGTAAACTGTAAACCGATTTCAATTCATCCAATACTCATGAGATCCAACATAACCGTAAAAGCTATCACAGATTTCCTCTGCTAAGCCCGGGTTGACTTAAGCCGGTATACAGTTAAAGTTCATATCCAATGAAAGTTTCTTAGAATTTTCAGGTTTCTTCCAAGGAAGCATAGACAAGCCATCTTTCTCGCCACAAGTTCATCCGCAGCTCAGTGCGTCGATATGCCGGTAGCTGCTTCATCTTCTTCCTCTAGAAACTCAAGTGATTCACCATAAAGCTCTTGTGCATCCTTCTTCACAGTTCTTAAATCAACTGATTCTCTCGTTGATTCCAATCCTTTTATGACAATCCTGAAAGAAGTCTTATCTGGTTCACAACCTACTTCTTTCATTAAGTAATACGACTCCATTGCAAGTTCACCTAGATTATAACTAACCAAAGCCTTCAGAAGATTGTTGAACCCCTCAATTTCAGGTGCTAGGTCAGTTTCTGCTTTGAAGTACGAATGAATTATTTGTACTTGTTCGAACAATCCATTGCTAGCCAATACTGAAACAATATCAGCATACAGCGAAACCTGAGGCTTGTACCAGTCCTCCTTTCTAACATCTTCAAAAACCTAACACTCAGAAATGGAAAGTAGTAATACAGGCTATCAGCAAAGAATATCGAACGAATTACAGAAGACACAAATCTATATCTCGCCATTGCTGCGGATACCTCTAAATATCGACAACTATCGTGCATGATCGAATACTCCCGATTACTAATCATTCAAATGTACAAATAAACAAAGAAGTCGAGTGCAGAGGCATCACCTTTAGAGCCAAAGAACACTCGTTCTGGCGAAGGAGCTCGCGAAGGACAGCCATCATATCGAACTTCAATAAGCGCCTAATTTTAGAATCATACACTCGGTCCAATTGTTGTAAATCTTTCTTAGCTCGCTTCAACGACTGTACCGCTTGAATTGCTTCGATGCTAAGGTTCCTCCCCTTCTGCAACGGCTTCCGATTTTCACTTCCGCCTCTCATTGTCACTCGCCGATATCCCTCCACCCTGCCTAGTCGCAGATAGGATACTTTCCCGCCGGAGCCCAGTAACGTGTACGGCGGACTGAGAATCGTCGACGACGGAGTAGTTGCTAAGAAACTCATCCTTCAATATCTCTCTCCCGCGTAGTCCCTCCCGCCTACTTGTTCATCCACGAATTTTCTGTCTTTAATCGGTTTGTGGTTATTATATATTTTTTAAATTAAAAAAAAAACCCTAAATTATTATGGTGTAAAATCTCAAAATTACCCTTAAATTTAAAAATAAAAAATAACAAAAATATTATTGCAATCAATAAAAATTTTAATTTTTTTAAAGGGGTTAATATTACTTTTAAATTTTAATATTTTTATTTTATTTTTTTAAAAATGGAATGTTATTAATAAAAAATTATAAATTGAAAAGTATTTTTGAAATAAATATTAAAGATTTATTTATATATTTCAAATAAAATGAATATTTTTATTAATTTAATAAAAAAAAACATAGAAAGATTTATTGTTAGCTAAACGGGTCGAAGACGGGAACATATTGTTTGTTTCTATCCTTATAGTTGCTTCCGACTCTCACAAATCTCCCACAACCTACTGTAATCTCCACAAAAATAAATAAAAATTTTAATGGAGATAAAAATTGAAACTACAGGTGACACTTAACTTAACATGCTTTTATCTCAAATTAAATATTTAATCGCACACAACAAAAAAAAATTTGTGTATTATATTTTAGTTTTATATCTATTACATTAATTATTTATTTGGATTAAAATTTTAAAATAAAAAGAAATATATTTTAAAGTTGAAAAATTAACTTAACCTTTGTAAAAAAAAATAATAATAAATAAATATATATATATATTATTATGATAATTTTGGTGGGCTGAGTCCATATAGCGTAATCGTGTACGGTAAGAAATGAGAAAGCCAGCTGAATCGCATCAGCTGCAGTTCGTTATCCTTAAACCATTTGCCGGTAAACGACCGTCGGCGTCGGACCTCAGAAGCTCTGCGGACGGCGGCGGATGGCGACTATAGTAGGGACGCCATGGGTGAGGATTAGGGCCTTCCCGATGCTGAATCCTCCAATTCTGCGTCACTCAAACTTGTATTTTGCGGAGAGATGCTTCCCTAAATTTCGAAGGAGTTTTTCGGTGTCGGCGTCCGTGGATAAGGTCGATGGAGAAGTTAGAGTCCGTTTTGCTCCTTCGCCTACTGGAAATCTTCATGTTGGTGGAGCAAGAACTGCCCTCTTCAATTACTTGTTTGCTAGGTTTGGTTCATTGACTCTTCCTTTTGCTTCTATTCGTTGTTTAATTAGGTTTTTCAGTGATCATTGCGCTTGGTTTTGGTTATCGGTAGGTTGAGGATTGTTGGGAGGGAGGAACATGGGTTTATAAGTAAGGAATACATCTCCATTGGTACGAGGCATTTTGGGGAAGCCCGTGAGAGATATTGCTCAGAGTGGACAATATCATACCATTGTGGAGATTCGTGATTCCTAACATGGTATATGAGTCATGCCCTTAATTTAGCAATGTCAATAGAATACTCAAGTATGGAATAAAGAAATTGCTAGCCTTGAAGGTGTAGTCAAAAGTGACTCATGTGTCGAACAAAGGGTGTACTTTGTTCGCGGGCTCTTGAGAAAAAAGTTGAGCCTCGATTAAGGGGAGGCTGTTCGAGGGCTACATAGACCTCAGGGGAGGCTCTTTGGCGTACTTTGTTAGAGGGCTACATAGACCTCAGAGGAGGCTCTATGGCGTACTTTGTTCGAGGGGAAGATTGTTGAGGATCGTTGGGAGGGAGTCCTACATTGGCTAATTTAGGCTAATTTAGGGAATGATCATGAGTTTATAAGTAAGGAATACATTTTCACTGGTATGAGGCCTGTTGGGGGAAATCCAAAGCAACGAGAGCTTATGCTCAAAGTGGACAATATCATACCATTGTGGAGATCCGTGATTCCTAACGTTTCTGTCTAAGTTTCATTTTAGTTGCCTGTCATTGTTTTGTTTCGTACTTACGAACTCGATGTCTCAGGGCCAATGGTGGAAAGTTCATTCTGAGAATTGAAGATACTGACTTGGAAAGGTCCACTCGACAATCTGAGGAGGCCGTGTTGAAAGATCTTTCATGGCTTGGTCTTGATTGGGATGAAGGTGTTTATGTTCTTCCAGCTTTAAGTCATGCGTTAATTTTGGAGTATTTGCTTCGTCTCAATTCTAGTTTATGCATTTAATGTTGTTTGTCTTAATGTATTGGCATCGGTTCATTCGACTTAGTATCATAATGCTTGAGTCAATATACAATTTTCAGAGCATTCCTGAATGCGTAGTTATATTTTTGATGTTATGTTCTTCAAAGAAGTAAGAATGGAGCTCTTTACTTCATCATTATTATTAGTTTCTGAGATTCTGTTAGTGATTTAACCATATGCAGGTCCAAGTGCTGGAGGAGATTACGGTCCTTACCGACAATCAGAAAGAAATACTTTATACAAACAGTATGCGGAGAAGCTTTTAGAATCCGGTCAAGTATATCGATGTTTTTGTTCAAACGAGGTAATCAGAACTATCATATATGATATGTTTTATGTTTTATCGATCTTGAAGTTCTGATTACTTAAGCAATGTTAATGTCGTTCTCTTCAGGAACTAGAAAAAATGAAGGAGGTCGCAAAGCTGAAGCAACTGCCACCTGTATACATGGGAAAGTGGGCCACTGCTACTGATGAAGAAGCACAGGAAGAATTGGAAAAGGGTACCCCTTACACGTATCGATTTCGCGTGCCTCAAGAAGGGAGTTTGAAAATCAATGATCTCATACGAGGGGAAGTAAGTTCTCCACCTATCTTTCGTTATCTTGCCTATATAGTTTGTCGACTCCAGACTGCATGTTCTCTATAGCTGATTCCTGCCCTGCCCTGGTGGCATCGCTTGTCTTGAATACATCTCGATTTGAAAATAATCAACAGAAAAAGAATGAATCGGTATTGATCGATATATTCCTCGAAACAACTAAAAGGAAACGAAAAATGAAACATATTGAGGTTGTAGCGTTTCTTCCGTGGGGTTCTTTTGTTTGACACACATTGACATAGGACAGAGGATTTGAAGAGCTACATATCAACTCCACAATTAATAATGATTACTCACTCAACCCCATTAATCAAAATTATGTTGTATCTTGTTGTTAACTTTGTTTGCTAGTGTCATGAAGGTTAGCTGGAACTTGAATACACTTGGAGATTTTGTAATTATGAGGAGCAATGGGCAACCCGTCTATAATTTTTGTGTCACTGTTGATGATGCTACCATGGCTATCTCACATGTCATAAGGTAATAACCTGATCCTCCGTAACCTATATGAACTTGCTGTTCCATTTATTCTCTCCTTGAATAGTACGTTCCACTTGTTGAATTTCCGTTACGTTGTAATATGTTAACTAATTTTCTAATTATTTTCATTTCAGGGCAGAGGAACATCTACCAAACACTCTTAGGCAGGCGCTGATATATAAGGTAATCGCACACCCCTTTTCCCTTCAGGTATCCTATATCAGATGCTAATCAAAGGACTTCGATTTCCCTCGTCAATAAATCCTCATGTTACAGGCTCTTGGTTTCCCAATGCCTTACTTTGCACATGTTTCCTTAATTCTTGCACCTGATCGTAGTAAACTATCAAAACGACATGGTGCAACATCAGTTGGTCAGGTAATCCTTGGTTGTATAAGTCTTATGCCATTGGTAAAAGCTTGTATATTCTGTGATATATTATTCTATTAGTATATTCCAATGTTTTTCTTAAAGCTCTTATTTAAGTGTGATATGCAAATTTAAATTAGAAATAATTACCGCCTGATCTCTGTAAATTCTGCTTTGCAGTTCAGGGAGATGGGATATCTACCCGAGGCTATGGTTAACTACTTGGCTCTATTAGGTTGGGGGGATGGTACCGAGAATGAGTTTTTTACTCTCGAACAACTTGGTTTGTGATTCTATCTGTGGTTCTATTATTGATTCTTTTTATTAGATGAACACGACTCTCCATAATGGTATGATATTGTCCACTTTGAGCATAAGCTCTCATGGCTTTGCTTTGGGCTTCCCCAAAAGGCCTCATACCAATGAAGAGAGTATTCTTTGATTATAAACCCATGATCATTCCCTAAATTAGTCGATTTGGGACTTTCATCATCCAACACGTTTTACTCCTTTCCAGTCTTTATTCTAACGATTTTTAAAGTTTGTTTCTGAATTACTATTTGGTTGTTTTCTTGGACTAACAGTGGAAAAGTTTTCAATTAGCCGTGTAAACAAAAGTGGTGCTGTTTTTGATTCTACCAAGTTAAGGTAAGAATGATTTGACTGTAAGTGAGTACAATTTTTCTTGCTCTTAGAAGCACGTCCTTGCAGTTCAATTTTAACAATGTAACTAAAATTTTATTTGTTTGTCAATTTGAATTTGTAATTGTTCTTAGCTAATATTTTGCTGTTCGTGACAACTAGGTGGATGAATGGTCAGCATTTGAGAGCCCTTCCATCTGAGGAATTGACCAAGCTTATTGGTGAGCGCTGGAAGAGCACGGGTGTCCTGACAGAATCAGAGGGGCCATTTATTGAGGTAAGAGGCTATTGTGTAGGAACTACTTTTGGATATGAAACTGAAAATATTAGTAAACATAAAAGAACGATCACATAAAAGAGTAAATAAAGTGTCCACCAAGGATGAAAGGAGCTTACAGAAAAGGACTTCAGTTCACATAGAAACAGGAGAATTTTAGGAGCCGAAGGTCTAGGAAAGAGTGACTATGGTGACTCGAAGCGCTTTATCTTGCTAAATTCAAATCTTTTTCCTAACCTTAGACTTGCTGTGAGAAGTCCCAAGCTTTAAGAAATTGACGTGTCGCTGTGTCCGTGTTTCGTTGCGTCACTTGTCCATGTCTGTCCTTTTTAGCTGACAGTGATCTTGTACCTTGATGCTTTTGTCTCTTGAGAATAAGCCGGCCCTGCTTAGAATAAGGAGGAATGTTTCTGTGAGACTTCCTACTCCCAAGCCACCTAAACTTAACAGGGATAGAGGCAAATTTCAAGTTTACTAAATTGATACCTCTTTGCCCTCAACGTTAGCCTGGGCGAAGA